TACACCTAACTGGTAACTTGGGATAATGCTAGAGTGTTGACTTGTCTTAAAGATGGAGAGAGGGGACCAGGTGTGGTAGCAGATACTTATAATCCTAATGATCGGGAGGTAAAAACAGGAAGATCAGAAGCTCAGGGTCATCCTTGGCTCCATAGTTCTTTCAAGGCCAGACCATATCTCAAATAAAAGCAAAACAAAGCAAAGAGAAATGTCTCTTTATAAGCACACCCCAGCTAGTAAATGGAGAAGGAAGAGATGTTTGCAACCTGTAATGACTGGATATGGGGCAGCAATCATCAGTGACTGCTGTTATCATACACGAGGCAAGCAGTCACTCTGTGCCTCCTGATGAAATTACACAGCATCATTTTTAGAAAACAATCAAGCTAGAGTCTCATCAAGTTTCTAGGTTTAATCACCAGTATTCAGGAAATATGGGAGATGGACGGAATGTGCTTGTTAAATTGTACCGTGGGGTGGGGGTGTCAGGCAGCAAAGCAGCAAAGTCTAGCCAGAGAGAGAAAGAGAGAGAGAGAGAGAAAGAGAGAGAGAGAGAGCTCTGTAGGCAAATGACCTGGTTTCTTAGACAAACTGATTTTGAAGCTAAAAAAAAAAAACCTCAAGAAAGCTGAAGAACATGCAGGTTAGGTTTTTGTTTTCTGAAGAAAAAAAATTTAGTTTTCTTCCTCATGGTAAAAAAAAATCACTTGGAATTTAACTTTATTTCATTAGTCTTTTATTTAGTCATTATATTATCTGTTTAAAATAGGTTCTGTGGGATTTGAGACCAGTGCTTCTCTTTTTTGAAGTTAATAGAGTACTTTTTGAGCAGTTTTCCACTTAGAAAAAAATAAGCAGGGCCAGAGAGATGGCTCAGCAGTTAAGAGCACTGACTGCTTTTGCAGAGTACCCAGGTTCAATTCCCAACACCCACATGGAGGCTAACAACCATCCATAACTCCAGTTCCAGGGGATCCGAATTCTCTTCTGACCTCCCAGAGCACTGCATGACAGTGATGCACTTACACACACGCAGCCAATACACTCCTTCACATAAAATAAAAATAATAAAATATTTTTTAAAAGGGAAAGAAAAAATAAGCATCAGTCACAGAGGTTTCCCAAAAGTCCCTTGTTTTTTCCCATCACTCCCCACCCTTAGCCCCTGGGAACTACTACCATTTCTATTGCCACCATAGTTTTGTCTTTTTCTGCTTATTTTTCCATATCTATAGATCCTCTATGATAGAATGTCATTTCAGGTATTTTTCCCATTTTTAAAGATAGTTTACCTATTGTTGAATTCTCAAGGTTCTTTGTATATTTTGGATAATACACTTTGTTAGATGTGTTAGACAACATCTAACTTTGATGATGTTGTTTTGTTTTTTTGAAATAGGGTCTCCCTATAGCCCTACTGGCCCTACTGGCCCTACTGGCCTGGAACTTGCTATTAACCATCTCTCAGATTCCCCAGCCTCTGCCTCCCCAGCACTGGGGTTAAAGGCTGTGCTCTCCCACTGGCCTTTGTTAAATGTATTTTGCAAATGTTTTCTCTCAGCCTGGTGCATTTCTTCCTATTCTCATTGTTCATTTATTTTTCTATCCAGTTTCACTTTCAGATTTCAGAGAGTTTTTAAATTAAAGTTAAAATTTAAATATTTAAGAATGAAACTTGTCTACATTGCCCTCTGGGGATATGATGTTTTATGTTTATAGCTCTCAGGGCCTGGGGCAGGCAAGGCTGAGGAGATAGCTCAGCAGCTAAAACCATAAGCCACAGGAGGTGAGTTACAGCCCCAACTTTTGCTCCAGTGAGCCTTTGCTCTTTGCTGGGGCTGAGACACTGGAGACCCAGGCCCTTCCTGGTGGCAGGCAGCTGGTGGCAATGTCATTATTTCCAGTTCATATAATTATCTACAATAGATTCTCAGCAACTGGTTATGTCCTTAAGACTAGGTAACAAAATATCTCCATGGTGAAATAGGGTACTACGTCCTTCTCCCAAAAGCTATACTGTTCAAAATACATAAAAATCATCACTAAGAAGAGATGTCCATTCCAGAGAGAACTATGAGTCATTAATAGAAATCAGTTATGATAAACAGGAAAAGAGGAAGTCAGCCAAACAATCTGTGCTTGAGCTAATCCACATCACCTATTAGGCCAAAGGAAGACCACACTGGAACATAGCTTACTGAAACAGTTGCCCCTGGTGGCCTGGGACATGCTGGCAAAGGATTCCTCATTATGGTCTGACTAGTCTGTTGGGTCAGATGTTACGTAAGACATACAGTGGAGCAAAATCTTGAACAAAAATTTTGTATTTGTTTTGTTTTGCTGTTTACTCACCAAGCAAATATTTGGGCAGTCACTGATGTGAGTTTATGGGTGTTATGTTTGCATATAAATAATCTAGTGTTGCTAAAGTAGTTAGATAGCAAATGGGTAACTAATATCTCAAGAAAAAGCAAAATCTGTTAATACCAATACTGCTTATTAGCACCCCCATGAGTTATTATTAGCGTGGTCCAACAGAAAACATGCATAGTAACAGGTTCTGCATGTTTTGCCACCATTTGGGGTATGATAATGGAGTTGGTAGAATGAGTCATGTGGGCTACCACTGGACCATGTTTGAATACTTTATCTTAATGCCAACAATTCCAGAGAAGTAGGCAATACTATACCCATTTTACCAAGGGAGAAACTGAGGTTCACATAGGTGCAAGGGACAGACTGAAGATCCAAATCCAGGTTTCATCTGATTCTGAAACTTTACCCAGAGGCATTACCAGCGTACCGGTCCTCTCATCCCAACTTCTCTGTACATCAGTTCTACACTATAAACGGGAGATAAGCATTGGAAGAACAGCATTGAGTGCAAACTATACAATTTGTCAATCTTGATTCTGGAATAATAGACTTACTGATAAATAAAAGATTTAAACAAGCAAGTGGCATTTCATTATATCATTTATTCATATTCAATGAGCAGTGTTACTTAGCTTTGTTAATGAGTAGTTTCTTTTCTTACTTTATGGAACTTGTATACTCAAACATACAATGCTTAGGCAGCTCACTGCAATGTGCACTTTACTTCCCCATCATAGTTTGTCCTTTTTTCCCAAGTAGTCATGGTTGAGGGACTGAGTAATTAACTTCCAAGATAATTACAGTTGCATAATACCATGCAGCGCTCACAGGTCTTTGAAGCTTATTAGTTTGTCATGGACACAGTTTATCAATTTTCTTTTATCCATTGTTAATACATTAAATCTTGAAGACAAATATTTGTGACATCTTACAAATAAAATATTAGTACCACATAACAAAAAAGTAATTTAACTTAGCTGTTGGCAGCTGATCCCTTGCAGATTTCAACACTTTATTTAAACACCTTTGAAACATTAGAAGAAAATTGATAGAAAGTTATCACAATAAATTCAGCTGTGAATATTTTTCTGTTGATTAACTTTTTCCCTTTCTCTGGATGACTTACTTGAGGGCCCAAAATATGTAGCATGTACAATCTATACCATATGTTTATATGATATAACTTTAATTTTTAAACTTAATGAATGTTTTGCTATGAGAAACATTTGTTCTCAAGAGAGTTTTGAATATCAGGATACAACACTGAAAATCATAGCAAAAATACAAAAACCAATGAACAATGAGTGAGTTTGAAATGAGGTCTGCCTATGACAAGACACAGGGCTAATTTCTGAGGGTCAGAGTCTTAAGGGTCAGAGAGTTGAGTCTGGGCATCCTGAGCATGGCTTTTGTAAATGCTGCGCACCCTCTTCTACTGTGAGACTTTCATATTTCACAGACTATTTGAGGATAAGCATCGTATTATTTCTCAAACTGCTTTTACTTAGGAATTGTCCCCCAGTCACCTGTCCTTCCTCACTGGCAGTTTTGACATTTAGTTTTGTTTGTTCATTTGTAGATATGGCTTTTGTAGATTGAGAATAGCTCTGTGTATGTATCTGTGTGTATATACATGTGTTCATGTGTGCTGGTGTACATGTATACTCCTGAGTATCAAGACCAGAAGTCAACCTCAGGTGTTTTCCTCTATCGCTTTCCAAATTATTTTCAGAGTCAGGGAGAATTTTTTAAACTTGTCTCATAGTTGGGACAAAGTATGTGACAAAGCAGCTCGAGAATGGGCTTATTTTGGCTCCCAGTGTGAGGGTACAGTATGTCATGCTGGGGAAGTCATGGCAGCAGGAGCTGGGGAAACTTCTAACATTGTATCCACAGTTAGAAAGCAAAGCGTGATGAATGCTCATGCTGAGCTCACTTTTTACTCTCAGTCCAGAACCCTGGCCCATGCAGTGGTGCTGCTCACAGTTAAAGTGAGTAGACTGATTAGATCTCAATCTAATCTGTATAGTCCCTCACAGCGGTACCTAGAGGCTAACCTAATCTAGGTAGTCCCCTCACACACCTGTCCAGAGGCTTGTCTCCGAGGTGATTCTAGATCCTGTTACTTTGACAATATTAACCATCACACAGGATCTCTCACTAAACCTGGAGGTCACCAATTGACTAGTCCGGCTAAACAAATCTTTGAGGAGCCTCTTATCTCTGATCCCTAAATTGAGGTTACAGATATATACCACATTAGCATGATATACTGCACCCTCAGACTTGGAGCCAAAATAAACCCACCCTTAAGTTGATTTTGCCAGATATTGCATCACAGTGAGACAAGTAGCTTATGATGTCCGTCTTTGGATGTGGCTGCTGGGGATCTGAACTCAGGTCCTTTATTCTTCCATGGTAAGCACTTTATCCATTTGAGCTATCTCCGCAATATGGGGATCTCTTTTTACAGCCCACTTTTACTAAGTGGGAGCTGATGAAGTAGGCGAGGTCACTTCATCAATGTAGAAAGCAAGCCGTTTTCTACATTTTACCCAGTTTTATTTGCTGCTATTGGGAGAAATTTTGTGAGCGTGTTGACTTTTTTTCTGTTTTTTGCATAGAAACGCTCCAGAGGGCAAGTGCTATTTGACAAAGTGTGTGAGCATCTGAACCTGCTAGAAAAAGACTACTTCGGTCTCACGTATCGTGACGCAGAGAATCAGAAGGTGAGAGGTCAAAGTGGTATGAGCCATTATAGCTTGGATTGTTTGTGACTGTGCAGAAGTAACCTGTAGCCAAGCAGATGTGTTGCTTTCTCAACCCCTCCCCCAACACACATGCTCACACTTAGAGCTTTGGCTCCCCAAATGCTATTAATCACTCTTTTTCTTCATGAAGAAAATCCTTGGCAACTCTTGAATATTTTGAAAACAGTAAGCCATCCCCCTTGAGATATAATTCCAAGAAAGCATTTTATATTGTGATTTTCTATAATGTAGCTCAGCCGATTATTTGACCCATGAGAATCAAATATTTGGGGGCTTATGTAGAAAACATGTTCATGCTCCCAAATTCTATGATGAGAACATGGCTGTCACAATCTGAGGTGGATTATTTGCTGACTAATACCTGTATAGTGCAGTTCACAGGTGTGTAATGTTTCAGGCAATACCTGTAGATGATGACACCTAAGTAACAGCATATATCCAGAGCCTTATTCCACCTAAGAAATACAGAAGGGGAATTATTTCCATTGTATTGATGCTACAATACAAGCTGAGGCTTGGAAGTTCTGTTTGTAGATGTCATTTATTTCTGTTGTGCTCGAGACAGGCATTTTCCTACTGAATTACTAGACAATGTCGTGTTTGGCTTCATTGGTAAGCATCTGACTTTTCTCTGGAAAAGAATTTTGTAGGTGTGAATTGCACATGGCTGTATCTCCCTGTTAGTCTAGTACCTTTGCCCTCCAAAGACTTGGTGAAGAGCCACCAAATGTGAGGGCGGTTCCACAGTGGGGAGGGCCTTCCCAGGACCACTCACTCCCTGTAGGGCAGCAGCTGCCACGTTTCTGCTTCTTTGATTCAGATTTATTCTGTCATTTCTTTTTCAGAATTGGCTGGACCCTGCTAAGGAAATTAAAAAACAGATTCGAAGTAAGTTGCTTTGAATCCTTTTATGTGGTAAGGTAAAGATTTGTAGAGAGGGGGGTGTTGTCTGTATTAATAACCCACATTCAAGTGGCAGATGAAGACAAAGTGATTAAAAGATTTCAAGCTGAAGTTTCATCTGACATACTGGTCTGATGAAAAATAGAATCCATTTTTGTCATCACAACTCAGAACTTAAAATGACTTTGACGTATGACCTCTTCTGCTGCCTGTACACAGATGTGACATACGGTTTAATCAAGTGATGCTGCATGTGCCACTTAATCGTTTAAAGTTCCAAAATTTATTATTAATGTTACCTGAACCCTGCCACTAGTGTATAAAAGCCAAGCTAAGATTAATAATCATTTGATGGTTTTTAAAAAGGGATAATCAATCAGAGTTGTCTGTTATCTACTGGCAATCTCTTTTCTTTCCCTGAAGATAAGAAGTGTGTATTTTTGCTGGGCTTGGTGATATGTTTGTAAATCTTAGCTTTCAGGAGGTTAAGGCAGAAAGATCCTAAGTTCAGTACCCCGACTGGACTGCTACATGAGATTTTATCTTAAAGACAAAAAACTAATAACAGCAATAAAGAAAAAGTATCTTTCCTAATTGACAAAAGAATTCCATGAGCAGCAAATCACAAAATTGGAATACCAGTAGCTAATAAATATTGAGCAAGTTGCTAAATCTGTTGATTCCCTGAAAAATAAAATGGGGCATCATTTCCCACATGTTCAGATTAGCAAAGATTTTTAAAGTTTAATTTTTTAAAATAATCTGTACTGGCAAGTATGAACCCAATTGGTAGAAATATAAGAGGTAATTTATCAGTATTTATTGAAATGTATAATGTAGCTACTATTTGACATTTAATTTTACTTGAAAAAATACATAGTGTTTGAATCAGAAAAAAAGTATATATGTGCATACATGAACGTTCATTTTAATTCTGTTTGCAGTAATGCAATACTAGAATGAGTTGTTGAGTAGAATTAATCTAGGTTTCATGTGTGTGTGTGTGTGTGTGTGTGTGTGTGTGTGTGTGTGTGTACGTGTACCATCTATGCATGCATGTACCTGTGTGTGCACATGCACTTGGAGGACAGAGGTAGATGCTAGTGCCTTCTACTTGCTCTATACCTTATCTTTTGAGATGGGGTCTCCCACTGAACTTGGCACTCATTAATTGCTGGACTAGCTGGCCAGCTGGACCTGGAGATCCACCTGTCTCCCCCCAGTATCCTTAGACATTTTATTTTTTTGAAGTAGATGAAAATTATAAAAGCAATAAATTTACTTCCCACAACATTCATTAGTTTGAATTCCACTTGTTTGGTATAAAGCCAGCTCTTATCAGCTTTACTATCGGCAGACTCTGAAGACATCTGATTAGTAAGAAGTGAACAGGAATCAGTTGGGGCATGAAACCAAATCTGACTATTCAGGACTTTTTTGAGAACAGTAAAGAAATAATCACTGAATATATTTCAGTGACAGATATTTATGACTTATTCTTAGAGACCATGTTTCAGTAATGTCTTGAGTGACTTGAAAAATATTAAGTGCCCAGTAGTAGCTGGCCATAAGCTAAATCCTTTACATGTGTAATCTTAAGTGTGATGTAAACAGTAGTGTCAAGAATAAACTAGACAGATAGGGGCTGGAGAGATGGCTCAGCAGTTAAGAACACTGGTTGTTCTTGCAGAAGACCTGGGTTCTAATCCCAGCACCCACATGATAGCTAACAACTGTCCATAACTCCAGTCCCAGGGGATCCGGCAGCCTCTTCTGACCTCTGCGGGCATTGAGTGACATGGGTGTACTTACCTACATGTAGGCAATACACGCATACATATAAAATAAAAATAATAAAAAAAAATTTTAAAAGACTAAACTAGACAGAATAAATGGATCCGTGACCCTGATGGCTGAAATGTATAAACTGACAAAGCTAAGTACTGCCACATCTGCAAGGGGGCAGTGCAGAGAAAGGAGCTAAGAAACGTTGACCATGCTATCTCTTTGTCCAGAGTATTTGGGAAGGGCTTGTGGAGAACACAGAGTTCCTTGAAGTCCTTTAATGGCATCGGGGGAGTGGGAGAAAGATTTGGAGGGTACTTGGAATATAAGAGCTGGTCTGTGAGGGCACAGAAGCATGGGCGTGAGAGTAAGGGAATGAATGGAGGGCCTCTAACATAGAAGACAGTAAGCTTGGGAGGAACTTTCCAGAAGCTTCCAGAGCCTAGGCTAAAGAACCTTTAGTATGCTTATTGACTGAAGGAAACGAATTTAAATGGTGTCAGAGAATTTAATAAATTACTTCATTTAAAAGCCAAAAGATATGAACAAGATAAATAAGTTAAAAGAAGATTATATATAGAAAATACAGAAAAGGAGACCATCATTCACAGTTAATGAAATGTGGCACTTAATGTACTAGATAACTCCCTAATACTATAGTAAAATATAGGAGAAAATCAACTGAAAACAGATTTATTTTAGTTCACAGTTTCATGGTCACTTGGCCCATTTCTTCTAGCCTGTAATGAGGCAGTGCATCTTGGTGGGGAGAGAATGATAATACAAAGCTGCTTCCCAGGGGCAGCCAGTGGGGGTGGGGCAGGGGAGTGCATGCTCACATTTAAAAATGCCCTTCCTCCGAATCCCATTCAATAGGAAAAGTCAGACTACATCTACAAAGTGTCAGTATCAGGCTGCGGCTTCGAAGCCGAAGTGGTGTTTTGAGGTGAAGTGGTATTTTAGTTGTCGTAGTGTAGATAATGAGTCTGAGAAGAATGTTGTGGAGAAGTTGCAGCTTAGTCCAGGTAGTATAAACAATTACCCTGGTCTTGTAAACCAGAAATGGAATCAAATCTCTTGATGATTTTAGCGATCTCCTGATTCAGTCACATCTCACAGGCCCCATCTCTGAACACTGCTGCATTGAAGGCCAAGCCTTCAATATATGAACTTGTATGGGACATTTTTAATCCAAACCATAACACAGTAAAGCTAAATATTTTGAGGCTAGACCTATGTAGACACTGCAGAGTCAGTGCCTATAGGCTAGCATCTGGTGTTGCCTTCACTGCTGTGGAGAACTTAAGTAGATGCCCCAGGGCAAAGAATGGCACAATGTAAAGAAGAGCCAGGGATTTGGGATTGGGCAACTCATGGACTTGGGATTGGGTAATGTTCAGTAAATGCGTGCAGATATCCACTGCATCTGAATTCAGCAGCCAACAGAGCAGCCCATTTATCTAGAGCAATATTCAACACACCTTTCCCATAAAATAAATATATGTTCGCTAGTCCCTTGACATTTATTATAATAGGATTTGACCTGTAATAACAGCAGAAAGAACAGCGATGGGAAATATGCCTGTGCTTGTTGGCATGTGAGCTGTCCAGAAATCCATAGCAATAAATCTAGTCAATTCCACACTTATCTGGTGCAGGATTATCCCTACCTGTCGCCTTTTTCTCCTTTTTTCAAGAGGCTTATCTTTGATCATGAGAAAGGGAGGAGGTTTGGTCAATTCATTGCTAGTTAGAAGTACCCATAAAGGATTTGATTGGGAACAAGATTAGAAATTAATGAGGTCTCAGAGTTATCTGTAGGTTTCATTTAGTACAGGTTTCCTTGTTTTCTGTTAGTGATCAGAAGTTGCCCGGATGTTAATGCCTGGAGTTGAAGCACTTAGGGCTTTGGTTTAGAATCCTTAATAAACAGGAGTTTCCTAAGGATTTGCTCTGATTTGTGTCCTATCTCTGCAGGTGGTGCTTGGCATTTTTCATTTAATGTGAAATTTTACCCACCAGACCCAGCCCAGCTATCTGAAGATATCACCAGGTATTTGAAAGTTGGCTATGAGAACAGTAGGCTTGTTGGGAGAGCCGTGCATCACTTGAGTGCTCCAGACACGGGCATGTGTTCATCTGGTAGCCACGTTCAAATGACAAAGAAAAGGCAACTGAATGAGCACAAATACCTGATGCCAAGAGTTGCCAGATCCTATCTGTTCACAGTTGAATCCTCAGTGCTAGGCTGATATTTCTGTCTGTCTGACCCTCGTGGGAAAACATGCAGAATTGAGATACTGCCATCCACCCACACAGCTAATTTGGATGGGATTCAGCCCTAAATGATATAGCATCTCTGAGTGTTCCTGCTTTAAAACTTGAAGCAAAAATGTTTTTGTGTGTTATACTCTATATGTAACCAACTTAATGCTTCATAGCTGTTTAATAATCAGAGAGAGAGAGAGAGAGAGAGAGAGAGAGAGAGAGGAGAGAGGGAAGAAGCACAATAAGAGTTTACTTTCTTATGCCTGTGTATATAAGAAAAATAATGAATTTGTTTTCTGGGAAGAAGATATTAAAAGAATCTACCATAAAAACATTTCATTTTGGGGTCTGGAGTAATAGCTCAGTGGTTAAGAGCACTGGCTGCTCTGCAGAAGACCCAGTTTCGAATCCCAGCACCCACAAGGTGGCTGACAACCATCCATAACTCTAGCTCCAGGGGACCCAACGCCCTCTTTTGTCCTCCATGGACACTGCACAACACAGGCGCACTTATATCCATGTAGGCATAACACTCATACACATGAAATAAAAATACATTAATTTTTAAAATTCCAGTTTGGCGATTGAGTTTAGAGTGTGATAAAAGGGATTCCTTTTATAAAAGTATGTCATGTAACTTATTCTGTTCTTATTCCTGCTCTAAATACAAATGATTGGGTAGTTATAAACAATAGAAATTTATTTCACACAGGTCTGGAGGCTGAGAGTTAAAGATCAGGGTGCTGGTGTGCCATTCCAGAGAGAGTCTGCTTCCTTGACTGCAGACTACCAGCATGTTGCTGTGTCCTCTCCCATGGAGTCACCCTCTCCCCTCTATAAAGAGAATCCCATTTATAAAGGCTCCACACTCATGACCTAATCATTTCTCACAGATCCCCATTTCTGAACCCATGACCGTGGAGTGAGGCTAGCATTTCAATATGGATTTGGGGGACAGAAGCTGGAATGCAAACATTCAAGTCCATCATTCTTGACATGAATGTCCTTGTAAACCTCTCTGCACTCTGCTTTGAAACCCTTGACTCTCTTACTGTGTTTGGTAGTGGATTTAAGACCAAAATCACTTAGTCATTTTGTGTGCATAATTTTCTATGAAAGCATTAAATCTTTTTGAAGAGCTTTCCATAAAAGAGAAATTATTCAAAAAAATATCCATTGTTTTGGTGGATATGGTGAAAAATTATTTTACCAGAATCTTTGGAGAAGAGTGATAATTAGTTCCAGAGGATTTCTTTTATATTTTCAGGAAATTGGAGAAAATTTGTATATTTTAGTGTAGAGATACTTTTTAGTCAGAATTAGATAGCTAGTTATGATTAATTTGTGGTTATAGAGCTTAAATTTTTCTGGATTTCTAAATTTCACACATAGTTCCTATTTACTGTGTAATGTTCATAGAGCCTATTTCGGAATGTTTAAGAATTTCAATGTCTGAATTACACAGAGTTCACTTCTATCAGTAGTCTAACATACTTAGTGAAGACTCCAAAAATTCTTTGTTACATAGAAGATGAGAGTTATTATTAAAATTCATCAATGTTAGTTTTTTTCCCCTTGTAAGTTTGCACTTGGTATTTTATCTATGAATCTTAGATGCAAAAACAATCAGCTATTCGTGGACTCATTTCATGATATCATGGTAAAATTATATGAAAATGTTTTATGCTTCTCCCATTTAAATCTGTTTACCTGTAGTGGCAAGATGCCCAGATTTCAAGGTAGGAGTCTTTCACAGTGTTTGTGTTAGCTGAAGTCTAGGAAGATATCACGCTAAAAAGAAATACAAAAAGAGAAATAGCTTGTTCTCAGAAAGAGAATGTTTTCTGAGAGATGAAGAAGCTGAGCACCAGGTTCCTGAAGCACAGCTGTTGGGTTATCTGAGGTCTGCTTGGTCATATGGCAAGACCTGTCATCTAGATTTCAAAATGAACCTTCCATGAAAGGTGTATGGGCATGATGGTTAGATTTAAACACCTCAGTTTATATTAAAGTTCACCCCAACTAATTTCTGAGTGTGTTGGGTGCTGCTTATTTGACTTTAAAAGTTATTTTAAGCAATTCAAGGAAAATACATCGTTAAATTTCTGTTGCTTTGTACTTAATTACTAAAGCCTTGCATTATTATGAAATTTTTCTTCTAGATTTTCCTAAATATTATATTTTGTAGCTTAGTATTTTCTCCTTATATAGAGACTGATTATAGATGAAATAATTATCACAACATATAAATGTGTCCTAAAGAGGTTATTGGACTGACAGAAATTCTTCACCTACAATTTATGTTGAATGGTCTCCTTTTTAAAATTTTTTTGGTAAATCTATAACCCTATGAACATAACATATTTAGAATTATATTCACCCTGCACACTCTCCCTCCAGATCCTTCTAATGTGTCCTAATGGTGGTTTTGTATCTTGTCATTTCGACTCCTGGAAGGTACTACCTCTGCTTACAGTTGCGAGATGACATCGTGTCTGGAAGGCTGCCCTGTTCCTTTGTAACACTTGCCCTGCTGGGCTCCTACACGGTGCAGTCAGAACTAGGAGACTACGACCCCGATGAATGTGGGAATGACTACATCAGTGAGTTCCGCTTTGCACCAAATCACACTAAAGAACTGGAAGATAAAGTGATTGAGCTCCACAAGAGCCACAGGTCAGTGTCGGGAAACCATGGTGTGCATGTAGCTAGTGCTTTGCTGAGAGGACGTCAGTTATACAGCCCAACTCTTCCTAGTTCTGATTTCTAGTAATAAGGGCAGGGCAGAATCTACACATGGTTAAAATCCTGGAGTAGGTTGACTCTCTCTTGCTCAGAATACCCGAGCCACCCATTTGTAAGTTTTCTTGCGGAGCTGTTGTCTCGTGTTCTCCCCCGTGTATAGGCTGAATATCTCTTACTCAAAATGTTTGGGGCAGAAGTGTCTTGGATTTCAGATTTTTTTTTCAGACTATGGAATGTCTGTATATAGTAACAAGACTTGGGATGGAACCCTAGTCTAACATACAAAATTTCATTTATGTTTCATGAACATCAAATGTTCACAACCTGCAGATCATTTTCTCCAGTAGATGTAGTACACCTGCATTTGACTGCAACCTACAGATGAAATCAACTGTGGCATTTTCTGCTTGTAACGTCCTGTCAGTGCTTAAAGTGATGCAGATTTGGGAATGCTTCAGCCTTTGGATTTTTGAATTAGGGTTGCTCAAGCACTGTCAGTGTCCCAGTGGGGGCATTCTTATAGGATAGCAGGGAGCTAGAAGGGAAAGTCTGCAGCCCTTCCAGGTCACTGACACAAAGAAGCAACATGGGCTAATTGCTTTTCAGGTTTAATTCTAACTGATAAGAGGAACAAGCAACCTTGTAACCCTTTTTTTTTTAATCAGAGGAATGACGCCAGCCGAAGCAGAAATGCATTTCTTGGAAAATGCCAAAAAGCTTTCCATGTATGGGGTCGATTTGCATCATGCCAAGGTATGCATTGTTAAAGACTGTTTAATTTACTGTAGCAATTTATCATTGCCACAAGTTGGGATTGTACTTCAGTTAATATAAATGAACATGTTAGGGACTCAAACCTGTGTTTGCCTTTGAAGCCGTGTGTGTGTGTGTGTGTGTGTGTGTGTGTGTGTGTGTGTGCGCACGCTTGTCTTTACAGGGAGGTGAGTGCACTTCATAGCCCAAAATTGCATTACTTCTGGGGCTAAGTCTCTTAAAAGCAGGCCTCCATTACCTGCTGATTCCATTGGAAACTTACCATGATAAACAAGCTCCTAGTTCACTCAGTCTTCCCCGTCACAATGGTATGTCCCACTCTATCAACATGGGCCTTTTGGTCCTTGTCCCCCCAGACCCTGTCTCTGAACTTTCCTTTAATATGCCTCTGTGTGTCCAAACTGACCAAAGTGTCACATCTGTTGTGTGCCAGGTACTGTTTTGCCCATTTTGAAACCCACTGAGCACTCAATAAGTTCATGTTAAATTTAAAGAATTCTATCCCTAAAGTTTAATCATTCTCACATATATAACCAGTACTTTGAAATAAGATTTCTTTAAAAGACCAGCTAACTTGTCCATCCATGAGAAGGACTATCTCATTGATTGGTAAATGCAATGTTAGAGATGCATCTTGGGAAGAAAGAAGTTGGAATTAAACTATGGGAAGATTTTGATTGTGAGGAGAGATGGAGCAGCTTTGTTTCTATTTCATGCTTTTTCTAGAATTGTCCTTTTCAGCAATGAGAAAGTGAACACATGACTGCCAGTCTACTCTTTAAGTGACTGTGAACAAAAGTATTGTAAAAATACAGGGAAGCTCTTATGGAAACTTTTGTCAGCAAAATAATGTGAAATTTGTTGGGATTCTAGAAATGGAACCTGGTATTTCAGCAGTGTTCAGAGGTCAAGCCTTAACGTTCAGGAGTAGTTTCTTCTGACTGAGACTGACAAGATGTCAGTCCCTAATATGGGTGTGACCTCTCAAAGATGCCACCAATTTCACAGTCACAAGAATGTGCAAATGCAAGTTTCCAGGGAAGCAAGTCCCTTTCACAGTCCATTTTGAGACCTAAAAGAGAATGTCAGCTGGCCAAGTTCAAACAGGCATTTCAATAACCATGATAACCAAAGAGAAGGAAATCTTTGGTCTATAAGTTCTGTTGATACCACAAGTGGCCAGCTCTTGAATTAACCTTTGGGGAGTGTTCTGGATAGCTTTAGTGTCAACTTGACACACCTGGGTTGAGGGAGCCTCACTCGGGGCATTGCCGCTATTGGACTGGCCTGTGGCCATGTCCGAAGGGCATCTTCTTGATGAGTGATGTGGGAGGGCCCAGCCCACTGTGGGTGGTGCCACCCCTGGGCAGGTGGGCCTGTGTTGCATAAGAAAGCAGGCTGAGCAAGAGCCAAGGGAGCAAGCCAGTAAGCAGCATTTCTCCATGGCCTGTGCTCCAGCTCCTGCCTCCAGGTTCCTGCCCTGAGTTCCTACCTTGGGCTCCCTGATGAACTGCGTGCGACCTGGGAGATGTAAGACAAATAAAGCCTTTCCTCCCCAAGTTGGTACTGGTCAGAGTATTTTGTCACAACACTTGAGAAACAAACTAGAACAGTTACCCAAGAAAGCTCACTTTTGTAATCAATCACTCTGATGCTAATTAACCCTTTCCTCCACCAGAGCAATAAATAGCCTTTGGGTGGAACCATCATGACCCAATTGCAGCTTTAAAGTCCTGTCTCCCAGAGCATCATGGTGAGTTATATTCGAACATGAGTTTTGGAGATCTTTAAACCGTACTGTGTGTTAATGCCTGATTTGTTTACTCATTCATCTATGGATGAACATGTAGTTGTGTTACCCATGAAACCAAGCTTCCCCTTTAGGATTCTTAATCTCCTTAATAAATGAATTTAGAAATGGGAAAGATAGCTTAGTGTTTAAGAGCAGTGGCTGCTCTTGCAGAGGACCCAGGTTCAGTTCTCAGCACCCACATGGCTACTAACTACAGTCTGTAATGTCAGCT